ATTTATTTTTTTAAAATTTTTTTATAGTTTTTTAAATTTATTTTTGAGACAGAGAGAGACAGAGCATGAGTAGGGGAGGGGCAGAGAGAGAGGGAGACACAGAATCTGAAACAGGCTCCAGGCTCTGAGCTGCCAGCACAGAACCCGATATGGGGCTCGAACCCACAAACTGTGAGATCATCACCAGGGCCAAAGTCGGACACTTAACCAACTGAGCCACCCGGACACCCCAGGAATCATTTCTTGTATGCCTTCTAGGGAATGGGGATTTCTTGTATCTTTTTTCCCATTTATTTAAAAAAATTTTTATAGTTTTTTAAAATTTATTTTTGAGACAGAGACAGAGCATGAGGAGGGGAGGGGCAGAGAGAGATGGAGACACAGAATCTGAAACATGCTCCAGGCTCTGAGCTGCCAGCACAGAACCTGATGTGGGGCTCGAACCCACGAACTGTGAGATCATGACCTGAGCCGAAGTCGGACATTTAACTGACTGAGCCGCCCGGGCGCCCCTCTTTTTTCCCATTTAATCTTTATTAAAAATATAGCTTCCTCAGTAGGTGGAAATTTTATGTTTGAGGAAATCCAATCATAGATGGAGAGATGGAGAGGTTAGGTAATGTGTTCCAAATTGGCAGAATAGAGATATGATCTCAAGTCTCTCTCCAACATATGGTAATTTTATTCATACATCTGTTATTTATTTATATTAAAATTTTCTACATTACTATATTATAAAAGTAATACATGCACCTTGTGACAAATATTCAACCCACACAACATGAAAAGGGTAGATATTCTGGGGTGCCTGGGTGGCTCAGTCGGTTGAGCATCTGACTTCAGCTCAGGTCATGATCTCATTATTTGTGGGTTCGAGCCCCACATTGGACTCTGTGCTGACAGCTAGCTCAGAGCCTGGAGCCTGCTTCAGATTCTGTGCCTCCCTCTCTCTCTGACCCTCCCCTGCTCATGCTGTCTCTCTCTCTCTCTCATAAATAAATAAAACATTAAAAAATTTTTTTAAAAAAGAAAAGGATAGATATTCTTTGATACCTTTCCTAGGCTCATACAAACATGTATGTGTGTGTGTGTGTGTGTGTGTGTGTGTTACTCTATCCCCTCCCTTTATATATATTTTTTCCCAAAAATGAGATCGTGTTGGACATTTGATGAAATCTAAATTAAGTTCATAGATTAGTCGTATTGATCTGTGTCAGTTTGTTGACTTTTATAACTGTCCTGTAGTTATAAAGAGATTTCCTCATACTTGGGAGATAACACACCAATGTATTTACAAATAAAGAAGCATCATGTCTGCAGCATGTGTTGTTGGGTTTTTTTGTGATTTTTTAAATTTTTATTTTTTATTTTTTGAGAGAGAGTATGAGTGGGGGAAGAGGGGACAGAAAAAGAGAGAGAATCTTAAGCAGGTTCCATGCCAAGTGCAGAGCCCAGTGTGGGGCTTGATCTCATGAACCATGAGATCATGACCTGAGTCGAAATCAAGAGTTGGGTGTTTAACTGATGGAGCCACCCAGGCGCCCCTGTAGCATACTCTTAAATAGATCAGCAATATGTATATATTTCTGTAGCAAAATGTTGGCAGTTGGGAAATCTGGGTAGAGGGTACTCAAAAATTCTTTCTTCTATCCTTACAACTTTTCTGCAAGTCTAAAAATAATGTCAGTTACTTTTTTTTTTTTTCTCCTGAGAGACAGAGAGAGAGGTGGAAGGAGAAGGAGAGAAGGAATCTCAAGCAGGCTCCAGGCCTAGAGCAGAGCCTGACCTGGGGCTTGATCTCATGACCTTGAGATGATGACCTGAGCTGAAATCAAGTTTCAGATGCTTAAGTGACTGAGCTACCCAGGTACCCCTAAAATTTTTTTAAAAATGAGATTGCACCTTGCATCTATCTTACTCAGTGACCTGCATCTTTTTACTTGACCACAAACAACATTTTTTTGCAGGTCAATACCTATGGTTCTACTCATTGTCTTTCATGCTGAGAATGTTGTACAGTAACATTCCATTGCAAAAATACACTCTGCTTTATTCAACTCCCCTTTTGATGGCTTTGACTTTAAATGTGATCTCAGTTATATACTAAGGGCTTAGACGCATTTGTATTTGTTTCCAGTTTCTCTATCTTGTCCCACTGGTACCTGGCTATTATCCGTGCTATATTGTTTTAAGCATTACTATAAGGTCTAATATCTGGTTGGCAGGACCTTTGTGGCCTTTTTTTTTTTTTTTAATTCCACGAAGTGTTCTTGGCAATTCTTGTACATTTATCCTTCCACATGAATTTGATCTATGGTGAACATGGCATATCTATTTGTGGAAGTATTTAAAGCAAGTCTGTGTAAATAAATGAACCATGTAGGGAGCTCATTTGTATTAAAAAGTACTTTAGGGGCTCCCATCCTCAAGGGCTATTTGAGTCTCTTTTTTTCAACCCACCACTGTCTCTGGGGACAAGCTAGGAAGAGACCTCACTGCTCTTAGAAAAGCTGACTACTTGCATAGTGTGATTTGGCTCTTACTCACATATGTCTCTCTATGGGTCCTTAACATGCTTTCCCATTTTGTTATCCCCATTCTACAGAAGGAGAAACAGGAGCTTGGAGAGGTGGAGTGGACTTGCCTCGATGGCATGAGAGCCAGCAGTCATGGCGCTGGGCTGACGCCCACGTTTCTTCCAGGAAGGTTCGAGAGATCCTGTCCTGGTCCTGGGCGTTGCCTTCTCGAGGGCCATGGCTCTTGTATTCTTCTCTCCCAAACAACCTGGGCATCCAGGCACAAGGTGGCACTTGGTTTGGGGGCTGCAGGCCAGGGCCCGTCTATTGTGCCCAAGGAAAAATCTGCCCACAGATGACAGGCCCCACTTTCTTCTCATGAGGCTGCTTTAGGAATTAAAAAAAAACAACAATCAACTCTTTCTCAAAGTGAGCAGTTTCTGTTAGGCTCACTCTTCCGCCCTGCTTCCCTGGCCTGCGTGACTCTGCCCATTTGAATCTGACCCATTCATCAAAGCCACCTCCTCTGTGGTGCCCTTTCTGCTGTCTTCCCTTCTTCCAGGCTCCTTTCCCCGCACTGTGCTGGGTAATGACCCACCTTCCCCGGAATACATTCACTTACTTGCTGTGACTGTCCTTAAATAGCTGAGTAGCTGACTTCTCTGGGCTTCAATTACTTACTGTCTTTGGAAAACCGAAATAATGTTGCCTTATAAAGCCTATTGTGAATTAAAAGAAATATTGTATGAAAATCATAGTCCTAGTTACACCGAATGCTCTTAAATACATTAGTCTGATGTTATCCCACTCTAACACGTACCCACACAGCTCTGCGCCTCTACCCAGACTTTATCCGTATGTATTAGGGCCCTTATCCTTTCTACCTTCTATAATAATTTTTTCTGTTGACTGTAGGCTCCTTGGTGATAGGGACGATAGGGTGTAGCAAAAAGAAACAGGATTTGGAATCAAAAGGTTTGGGTCCGCCCCTAAGTGACTGAGAACAAGTTTACTTCTCCCCAAGTTTCTTCCTCAATAAGAGAGAGAGAACAACAGAATGTGCCCTATCATCGCTTCATGTACTTTATTAACATGAGATAATGGATGTTCAACGGCTCTAGAAATTGCCAAGTGCTAATGTATTATTATCCAATTGCCCTGTCTGGTTCCCAGAAGCCCAGCACAGCGCCTTGCTGGCGGTAGGAGGGGTGAGCGCAAGGATTTGCACACTGACTTCCTTTGGTCTTCACAATTGCCCTCTGAGATACGCTTTACTATCCCCATTTCAAAGACGGGCAAACAGAGGTGAGAAGCGGGTAAAATGCTTCGTCATTCATTCGTTCATTCAGCCACATTTGAATGAGCAACTGTCGTGCATCAGACACTCAGACACTGGGGATGCAAAGACCATATCCCTCCCTCACAGTCCAGAGGGCAGTCAGCTAAAGATAACACAAGGCAGATTATGAATCAGAGCCAATCTTTATCAGCTATTCACTAAGTGCCAGTCACCTTGGCAAGCTCTTGGTGTGTTTCGGTCATTCAATTCTCCCCAGCTACCAGCAGGTATCATTATTATGCACATTTCTCATCTATCCATAAGTAAGGCATGGTGATTGCTTAAGGTTTCATAAATAGCAACTGGCAGAGCCAGGCCCCACCTTAGCCACCAAACTCTACTGCCTCTGATAATAAGGCAGCACAGAGGACATTGCCAGAGTCCCAAGGAGGGACCCCTAACTCAGTCTGGGGCTCACGGTGGTCAGGGAGGTTTCCTGGAGGTCTAGAAATTAGCTAGGCAGAGGTGCATGGGGAAGCAAGGCCATCCCAGGAGAGGCAAAAATGTGGAGGCCACCTAACGCAAGTCTAGAAGAGACTGGTCCATATCCTAGAGGTAGCTGAAGGTTTGAAGGGTTTGACGCAGAGGAAAGACTTGGCTAGATTTTTAGAAGGATCGTCTGGGCAGCTGGGTAGATAGAGGTGGATGGGAGGGAGAGAGACTCCGAGAAATCCAGGCACGAGCTGAGGGCGTCCTAGACAGGGGCTGGGGCAGGGAAGAAGACAGAGAGATTCCGAGGCTTGCAATTTCGGGGTGATAATGATTTGGGGATTAAGTTAAAGAGGACAGGGAGCAATTTGGAAGGACACGAGGTTTTGGCTCTTGGTCCAGGGGAATGGGGGTGATCTGATGAGGTCAGTTTGGGATGCAACCCAGGGCTTCCGGCGCCCAGTCCCGTGCCCTTTCGCCTCCTGGCATTGCCAGCCACAGTGACCTACGGAGGGCCGCGGGTCACGGCGTGGGGGGAGTGGAGGCTTCGCCGGGCAACCGAACTCGCAGCTTTGAACCCCGCCCTTCCGGACGTGGCGGCGACTGCAGTGCGCTCTCCTAAGCGCCAGAGGGCGGTCTCGCACACACTCGGGCCGCTCTGGCCCGGCCCGTCTCAGTGGCCGCGGAAGGTGACGTGGACACGGAAGTGGTCGTCGTCGCGGCGGCACCGGTGGGAGCGGGGCGCGGGGCTCAGAGTGCAGCGGGCGGTCGGGCGGACGGCGGCGTCTCGCACCTGCGGCGGCGGGGGACGCAGGCGTTGTCGGTTGGGTGCGAGTCTGCTGAGCCGACGAGCGGCTTCTCAGCCTCTCTCCTGCCCGTCGGAGACCGTCGGAGCGCCGGAGCCGGGACCGCTCAGCAGGCGTCACCATGACCAAGGCCGGTAGCAAGGGCGGGAACCTCCGCGACAAGCTGGACGGCAACGAGCTGGACCTGAGCCTCAGCGACCTGAATGAGGTCCCCGTCAAGGAGCTGGTCAGTACGGTCCCGCGGGATCCAGGGGCCCATCCGAGACCGGCGCTGGCCCCTGCGCGGGCCCCCTCCTTTCCCACGGAGGTCTTAAACGCCCCCTTTCCAGGTCTTAAAACTAGGCTAGAGGAGTAGGGCTTAGTCCTCGGAGAGCCCACCTCTGCCCCCAGTTTTCTTCCTTGGGTGTACACGTGTCACTTTGGCGCAGTTCCAGAAGATGAGAAGGAGCTGCTTGTTTGGCCCTGAGCTTTCTACGGGTCGGGAGTGAGTCTCCCTTCGTGGGGGGGGGGGGGGGGGGAGGGTTAGCTTGCCCAGCGCTCACCTCCGAGCTTGACTCCAAGTAGGCGCCCACGGAGTGGTTGCCGGCCGCTTCCGGAGAATGAATGAACAAATGAATGAATGACTCGTCTGGGAAGTAGGCCTCTGGGTAGACCTGGGTGTGGCCCAGAACTGTGCATTTCTAAGAAGCTGGCCGTCCCAGCCCCAAGGCGGCCGTCCTTGAATTGCGTGTGGAGGGTCACCGTGGGGTTGGCCAGGGCTTATCCCAAAATTCAGCTTAAACTGGCGCCGCTGCCCACCCCACTCCAATGCTCCCACTCAGGAAGCTGAGCCCTGAGGTCCCAGAAGGTTACACAGCTGGATTGTTGCCAAAGTAGAGTTAGCTCTTAGTCCTCGCTTTCCCGCTTTCCCCTCCAGGTTTCCTACCCGCACCCCCACCCTAGCGCTGCTTGGGATGACCTCCGTTTTCTTCTTCGCTGCTTTTAACGAATTACATTGCCTTTGGCACGTGGCTCGGTAATGTGGAAGTTAGAGCAGATTTCCAGTTCCATTGCTTAATATCTTGAGTGCCCTTGGCAGGCTGGTTAATCTTTATGCCTAGATTTCCTCATTTATAAAATAGGGCTTCGAGGGTTGTGAGGATTAAGATTGTATGATAAAGTACTCTGGTAGGCAGCCAATGCTGAGACACGCAGCTGTTATTATTATTATTATTATTACCAGTACTTCTACTACTACATTATATCTCAGTGCTAGTTTTTAAAGGCCTTTCCTAATTGTGGGACTTCTCTCTGGAAATTGCTTCATTAGCAGATGTCACTGAATCATTCCATGTGTTGGTTTGACATTTTGTTCTCATTCCTTTTCTTAGGCTGCGCTCCCGAAGGCCACCATACTGGATCTGTCCTGCAATAAACTGACTAGCCTACCGGTAAGATTGGCAAGCATGAGTCCTTCCAGAGCCCTGATGCTTCTCCTTCTTGCATAGGGCAGTTAGGTCATGAGGCACAATTTCAGGACAGGCCCTGCAGAACAGGCTGTGACCGAGATCGGAGCGTGCCGCAGGGATGGGGTGAGGTGGGGTGGTTCGTCTCTGCAAGAAGGAAAGCAGGAGGCTTCATTCCTTAGAACACTGGGAAAATCAGGGGGTGCCTGGGTGGCTCAGTCGGTTAAGCGTCCGACTTCGGCTCAGGTCATGATCTCACGGTTCGTGGGTTCGAACCCCGCATCGGGCTCTGTGCTGACAGCTCAGAGCCTGGAGCCTGCTTTGAATTCTGTACCTCCCTCTCTCTCTGACCCTCCCCTGCTCACGCTGACTCTCTCTCTCTCTCTCTCTCTCTCTCTCTCTCTCTGAAATAAATAAAAACATTAAAAAAAAAAAGAACACCGGGAAAGTCAGGCCACAAAAAACTAAAGTCAGCGGAGTGCTGGCTGAATCGTGTATTGGGCTCATTTTTTTTCTGCCTTATTTTATTCCTTTGAAAAATAATTTACCTCCCTATTGAGTAGAGGAGATTCGAAGCCCTTCCGTAAGTTGCTCAGTATTGCAGGGAGAAAGCTGTTTATGAACAGGCTCCTTTTGATGGGGACCAGGAGAAAAAATGTGGCTCTGGAGGGGGCTGCCGTATTCTCATTCTCCCAGCCCTTGCTTGAATGACTTGATGCTTTTTTGTTCAACGCAGCCAGTCTGTGGTCGGATCCTTTGATTTTTCTTGCACAACTTCCCCCAGTGCTGCTTCTCCTTCATGAACTTCGCGGTTTCTTCAGCTCGCCCTCCTTTGCCCATGTAGACCCTGGACCCGGGGCGGGGGCCATTCTCCTCCAGAGCCGCGCTCCTTCATCGTTGCCCTTTCCGCCCATCGCTCTGGCCGCGTGGCTCCCTGCCGTGCTCCGCCGGGCTCAGGGATCGAGTCCCCGAAGTTGGCAGTTTCCTCACTGGGTCATTAGTCTGTTCCCCTCTCAGTATTCTCCCGGGCCCCTCCCATTAGCTACAGCATCTTCCTGCCGCGCCTCAGGGACCATTTCTCACTCTGAAGAAGCAGCTGAGATCCCACTGCTCCTAGAAGTATTTGGTGTCTCATGACAGGGTGGTAGCAGGTCCGTGCAGCCTGCTGCATCCGCTCGCGTTGTCGGTAGTCGCTCAGCAGCCCCTGGTGCCCTTTCAGGTCACAGTGTGTCCTGTTGTCTGTGCCCTTCCTTGGCGGTGCAGAGCCACCCGCAGTTGACGGGTCCCCAGGGAGCAGGAGGAGGGCCTCTCTGCTGAGGCTGGAGCGGGCCTTCGGGTGGGTGCTGTACTAGGTGCTGGAAGAACAGAGAATTACACCAAGTACTTCAGGGGCGCTTCATCCCTTCAGGAAGGCGGGTGGTTTCATTGTGTGTCGACAGCTCCTGCGAAAGGAGAACACGGGGCGCCGGGGGGGCTCAGGAGGGACCCCTCATCGCTGCTCCAGCCGCAGCGTGGAGGATGGGTTCGGGGGAGAATGGAGCGTGAGGAAACACACCTATTTCGTGCCGACTTTGTGCTCCTTTTCCGCGTGCTTGTCGCTGCTTGGCACTGGAAGTGCTGAGTGTCAGGCGCCTCTCGTTCAGGGCGGAAGGTAGGCTCGGGGTTGACCGCGTAGGCGCCTCTGCCAGGCAGGCGCCTGCGGCATCACGCCAGAGCCTGCACCCAAGGCTCAGGCGGTGTCTCCGCGGGTCCCAGGCGGAGTTCTGTGGCCTCACGCACCTGGTGAAGCTGGACCTGAGTAAGAACAGGCTGCAGCAGCTGCCCGCAGACTTTGGCCGTCTGGTCAACCTCCAGCACCTGGACCTCCTCCACAACAAGCTGGTGACCCTGCCCGTCAGCTTCGCCCAGCTCAAGGTAATGGTCTGCGGAGCCATGTCCTTGCGGCGGCTGAGGCGCGGGGCGGGGGGGCCAGTGGAGCGTGGCTGGGAGGAAGGCGCCAGAATCTCACCTCTGCTGGCACTGCCTCCCGCGGCTTTCCCTGCACCACGCACACCCAGGGTGGGGGTGGAGCGGAGGGCTGGGGGGGTGGGCTTCTGCCTGCGCATTCGGCTCACCTTGGGGGACTCGGTTGGGAACCCGTGCTTAGCCGGCCTCTCTCTTCTATCCCTTTAGAGCCTGAAGTGGCTGGACCTGAAGGATAACCCCCTGGACCCTGTCCTGGCCAAGGTGGCAGGGGACTGCTTGGACGAGAAGCAGTGTAAGCAGTGTGCCAACAAGGTAAACGCGAAGCTCCCCCGGGGACTCCCCTGTGGCTCCCCGGGGACCAGCCTCTGCCTCCACTTGTTTTTCCCTCCCAGGGCACCTGGTGGCTGTGTGTTGACTCGAGGACTAAGGTCCCAGTGAAACAGGACGCAGTAAACAACACTGTCGTCTCTGCTGTGAAACTTCCCTTCTTAACAAACCACGACCTTGGGCTGCCTGGGTGGCTCCAGCGGTTAAGCGTCCGACCCTTGAGTTTGACTCGGGTTTATGATGGTTTGTGAGATGGAGCCCACTTGGGATTCTCTCACTCCCTCTCTCTGCTTCCCCCCTCTCCCCCCAGTTTGCTCATGCACTTGCTCGCTCTCTCTCAAAATAAATAAACATTTCAGAAACCAGGACCTTGCCTCATCCCACGTTACACTATTGACAGTTGTTTAAAATTGGTGGGTTTTTTTTTTAACGTTTATTCATTTTTTGAGAGAGGGGGGCAGAGCGCGAGCAAGCTGGGGAGGGGCAGAGAGACAAGGAAACACAGAATCCGAAGCAGGCCCCAGGCTCCAAGCCGTCAGCACAGAGCTCAAGGTGAGGCTCACATTCATGAACCATGAGGTCATGACCTGAGCCGAAGTCGGACACTTCACCAAACTAGGACATGCAGGCTAGGGGCTGTGGCCTTTCTAAGTCATGGATATTGTAGGAATTTTAATTAAAAGGGTTAATATTCGTGTGCTGTGCTTGTAGGCAGACACATCCTGGGCAGGTCTGACTTGATTTCAGCCAAGTCCCATGATGTAGGACTGAGGAACCAAAGGCAGCAAGGAAGGGGGGACACTGCCAGCTACCCCGAGGGGGCCTCGCGCTGTGTCTTAAGAACGACACTACACGTCACTCACACTGCAGCCATAGGCCGTCTTCCCTCCAGCCTTACAACAGACTGCCGCCGCTGCAGCGGAGCACCAGATGACTGACTTGGCCATGTTTAGGAGGTGTGATGAACAGAATAGACTTTAAACTTGGCTTTAGCTTTAAATCCTAGAAATAATGTCCGTGGGCATGGGGGCGGGGGTCTCTAGGTGAGGCTTAAGAATAATGGCCTTTTCTTATTAGCTCAGGGCTTAGAGAGTCTCACCCTTTCCAGCACCTGTTGTCACAGGAGATCAAGTACAGGGTCAGTGCAGCTAGGTAGCCACGGCCACAGCTTGCCCTTAGCTGAGAACGGCACAGGTGATCAGTGAAATCCTGGTGCTTTAGGAGTGATGTCTGTTCTGAGGAATAACCATCACTGCGACTGAGGACTCTAGCTTTGTCCTGTGTGCTTTATATTCCACCTCGTGATCCTCCTGTCTCCGGGAAGTAGGTAGGATTTCGTTTCTCTGCCACGAGAAATGCCCCGTACGCAGATAGGTTTCATTTATCCATTTTATTCACTCAGCTAATAATACATGTAACCATGCGACATCACCGATACTTTTATGGGGCACAAAGATCTTTGGTATTGGCACCTCCCTTCCAGACAAAGCCCCAGGTAGCACATCGCGTTGTGGGCACCGTGGCCTGGAGTCGTCTCCGGCACACCTTGAGGCATTGTGGTAGCCAGGCTTCGGCCGGCCAGAGTGAGGTCACCTGTCCGCAGGAGACAGTGTAGCTCTCACCAGCCCTGACCTTGTGGCTGCATGGGTCAGTCCTAGTCACCGATAAGCTTGGTGCGTGGTACAGCACCTTGTAAAAATAATTTATTAGTTGGAAAGTATCCATCAGGTGCTTACCAGAGTATGTAGACTGGGGCCGGCGGACACAGTCTACCCTCAGGCGCTCAGGGTGTAGACCAGAGGAGTCGCTTCTGTTTCTGAACTTGCTGTTTTCTGCTAACTCTTGGTGGATTGGAGCCGGTGGGGGGGGCCAATGGGATGTCTCTTGAACCTCTCTCAGCTCTTTATTTAGCCACCTGTACACCCCTTAAAACTGCCTCAGTGGTTGCTGCTTATTTAGTATTCGGAATTCAGAGTGAGGCAGGGACTTTGAACTTGAGGTACCTCTCACCATCAGGCTTGACCTTCCTACAGATCTTGCACTCCTTGTTGAGTGGTCTTTTTTTTTTTTAGTAAGCCTGACTCCCTCCCGAGAGGCTGTAGTAGCAGACTCAAGGCCTGGGCTGCTCAGGACAGGGCTCCTTGTGTCTTCAAAGGGGCCTCTTGCGGGGAGCCTAAGAGGTTAAGTCACTTACTAAGGTCAGATGGTTAGTAAGTGGTAGAGTCAGGAGTGTGCTGGGCTCTGAGCTTTCACTCTGTCCTTTATATCCAAGCGATAGCAACTTCTAAAATTACAGCCCAAAAAATAAAGTCTTTTACCTCCTTCCCTAACCATGCCCTTAGTGACACTCTCGGGGGCTGTTTTTGTCAGAGGCCGTCCACGACCGACTGGACAAGGACTTGAGGAGCCACAGCTTTGGGTGGTGTGTGGGCCGAATGGCTCTTCGCTTCCTCCTAGAGGCTTCCTTGCTTTGTGTGCTGACCTGAGTGGGTCAAGCCCCGGCCCAGGAGCTTAGACGACCCGTACTCTGAGCTGCGCTACGTCCTAGCTGTGCGAGGGGGACGAATCATGCCCCCCCACCTCCCGCGGCAGCCTTGGCTTCCTTACTTTGGAGTTGGGGATTCAGTCAGTCGATCTTCAAACACGTATTGAGGGTCTAGCCTGCAGATGGGGATAGTCGCCGTCCTCAGGGAAACTAGTGTGATGACTCAGGTAGGTAAGCAGTCTCCCTGGGACTGGGAAGAGCGCAACTTTGTAAAGGAGCCATGGGCGGGAGGTCAGGGAGTCTAGGCGGAAGTGCCATCCTGCTCATTGCCAAGAGTTGCTGGAGGCGTACGTGAGATCGTGCGTGTGATAGTAACTGTAAAGAGCGGAACTCCTTCCACGCTCCAGTTGGCAGTGGGTTTCACAGACATGTTGCCACACAGCTTTAGAGGCCTGGGTGCGGATGACCCTTCTCCAGCTAAGGCCAGCCAGCAAGTCAGGAGATGAAGACGGGGGTTGGCTCTGTGAGGCCGGCGCTGCCGCAGGGCTGTGCCTATCAGAAAGGGGCCGTCTTGCACGAATGCGCCCCGGAGCCCCCCGCCTGGGCTGCTTCAGCAACTCTGCTCCCCCTTCGCAGGTGTTACAGCACATGAAGGCCGTGCAGGCCGATCAGGAGCGCGAGAGGCAGCGGCGGCTGGAAGTAGAACGAGGTAGGTGCCGCCTGCCCCCACGGGCCGTCTTCCTGTCCTTCCCCGGCCTCTGGCAGGCGCCGGGGTCCATGGAAGCTTTGTGAGGAACAGTATGGTGCACAGCGTCATGTGTCCAGTCCTGGCTTCTCTGCTGAGCTCCAGGGTCCTACAGCCCGCTGGGAGGGTTAAGAGCTCAGCTCAAGTGTGGCCGGGACAGCCCTCGTCAGGCCCTCTAGGGTCCCCTGGACTAGGCAGTCACCACCCCTGCTGTTATTCAAGCCTGAAATTGGAGCGATGTCCGGGACGCCTGGGTTCAGTTACCCCGGCATCCAGTCCATCAGCCAGGCCCGTGTGTGGCGGTTCCTCCGCCCCAGGCCTCACTGTAATTCACTGTAGACACCTCCCCGCTCCGTGTGGTGGCTCCACACCGGGGCTCCTTCCGCACGCCAGCCACGGGGATCCTCTTAAAACAGGACTCAGTGATGGCCGCTGTTTGCTTAAAACACTCTCACGGCTCCTGATTGAAGTTCAGACGCAAGTCCAGCATAGTTCCGTAGCCGACGGCCCGCCATGGCCCCAGGCCCGCCTGCTTCAGCCGTGCCTTGCACCCAGGGGAGAGAACGCTCCTGGCTTCAGCCACATGAGCCTTTGCCACTGCCCAGACACACCAGGTCCGGCCTCTCCTCGGGGGCCGTGCCTGGTTCCTTTCCCTTCGGGTCTTTATGCGGCTGGCTTTGTGTCCTCCTTCGGGTCTGCTCAGATGTCGCCGTAGCTTTACTGCCACACTTGAGAACCCCCAGGCCTGGTAGCACCCCGCGCATCACATCATCGCAGTCTCCGTTACCATCTTGGTGGCAAACTCCGGTGTCTTTCTGACTGTTCGCTCGTGTGTCTCCGTCTCTAGAAGTCGTAGGTGCTAGAACCCAGTCTGTCCTCGCTGCTGTGTCTCGAGCACTTAGGACGAGACGTGGCACACAGCGGGTGCTCCATTGACCGGCAGTCTGAGGCTCCTTACTGGAGGAGTCCCATGGTTGGGGGGCAGCGGGGGGCAGACCCTGAAGGAGCCCGAGTGGCCCCCGGGCCTTTTCACATCCATGGCTGCTGCGAGGCTGTTTCCTGGGCCACTGCTGCTTTACTTCCTGCCTCCACGTGTTCTCTCCAGGCTGAGTACAGTGTGCTCTTGGCCTTGTGGGTGCCCGGCTGGAACTTGGAGCTTGTTTGCACACAGGAAAGCAGCGGAAAGCTCCAGTACATAGCACACTACAGTCCAGCTACATTCTGGGTCAGATAGGCGCTCAAGCCCAGCAGGACCTTTAACTCCCTCATTTGTGGCATTCTGGCTTTGGAAAAATGTACTTCGGGCCTCCAAATAACTCACTGGGAAGTGAGTTTTTAGAAGCCACTTGTTTGTAAGTTGGGAACCGGATGTAAACGCACTTGAACCGTGAAGTAAGCCAGGATGCGTCCGAGGTTCCCGAGTGGGAGCCTAGAGGCGGCCCTCTGACCAGTGGTTAGTCTTGCTTTCTCAGGCAGACCTTTCCATCAGCTCTACCTATGACCGTGAGCGCTCACTTTCTGTTCCCTACTTGCCCTTCCCACGCCACGTTCCTTTCTGGAGCTTGGGAAGAGAGGAACCCCGTAGAGTCAACATGGCCGTGGTTTCTTCTTCGGACAGCCGAGTTGTATCAGGGCGTCACTGTGTGCCTTCTGACTCACCAGGCTCATCACCCATGCCTTTCTCCTGTACCCTCCCTCATGTGTTACCCTAATGTCTCCACCGCCCAGGGCTGGGAACCCTTCAGTAATGCATCCTGCAAGCCCTGAGAGTGTTTACTGTGCCTGCGGGACACAGTTTTCCCAGCCGTTTTACTTAAAATGGCATCGGCGACCTGTGGCGCAAGGCCATGGCCGAGCCTGCGCTTTCAGTCATTCGGGAAAGCACCCTGGCAGCTTTGCGGGTGAGAAGTCATTTGGGGGCGTGTTGTCCTGCAGAGGCTGAGAAGAAGCGGGAGGCCAAGCAGCGAGCTAAGGAGGCTCAGGAGCGGGAGCTGCGGAAGCGGGAGAAGGCGGAAGAGAAGGAGCGCCGGAGAAAGGAGTATGATGCCCTCAAAGCAGCTAAGCGGGAGCAGGAGAAGAAGCCCAAGAAGGAAACAAATCAGGCTCCCAGTATGTTTGCAGGGTTCCAGGGGCGGCGGCGGGGGGGCGGCCACAGACCGGGTTGGGTGCGGCAAGCTCTCAGGCGGGGCCCGGGAGTCGCTTGGAGGGCTCGCCTCCCGGGGGCGGGGTCTATCCTGGGGAGCGGGTGCAGGTGTCTGGCCAGACGTGCCATAGCGTTCCCGGAGCAGGGAGCTGCCCTTCCTCGTCAGGGCGTGCCAAAATCCCCACAAGGCGAAGGCTGCACGTGGTCACACTACCCTTAAAGAGCAGAGAGACAGAGCATGAGCAGGGGAGGGGCAGAGAGAGAGGGAGACACAGAATCTGAAACAGGCTCCAGGCTCTGAGCTGTCAGCACAGAGCCCGACGTGGGGCTTGAACCCACAAGCCATGAGATCATAACCTGAGCCGAAGCCTGTGCTTGCTGCCCCCTGAGAAGGCCCTCCCCCGATCCCGAGGGACCCTGGGGCTGATTGCATGAGGCGCCGGAAAAGACCCCTCGCTCTGAGTGCAGCCCCTTGAGATCCGCTGGAGGAGGACTTCGGCTGCAGGCTCTGCAGAAGCAGAGCCTTTCACGGACTCGGATGGCCTTAAAAGCTCTCTCGTCGGGGCCTGGGAGTGTGCGTTTTCGGGTGGGGGGTTTGGTGGCTTGGCACCGACAGGCGGAGTGCGGGTCCCCCCCCCCCACACACACACACCGACTGACTGAGCCTCCCTGTCCACTGTGCCTGTGTCCCTCCAGAATCGAAGTCCGGCTCTCGGCCCCGCAAGCCGCCCCCCCGGAAACAGGCCAGGTCGTGGGCCGTGCTGAAGCTGCTGCTGCTGCTGCTGCTGTGCGTGGCCGGCGGGCTGGTGGCCTGTCGGGTGACGGAGCTGCGGCGGCAGCCGCTGTGTGCCAGCGTGAACGCCATCTACGATGATGCGGTCCGGGGCCTGCGCAGCCACGACCTCTTGCGGTGGGTGCTGCAGGCCGACTCCCAGCAGTGAGCCTGAGCCCTTGCCCGCTGCCCTCCCACCTCGCAGCTCGCGTTCCTGTGGAATTGGGTTCTGCTGGACACGACCTCTTTTTGGCATCCGACCTACCCGCTGTCATCAAGTGGCTGCCGATTGGTACTCGAGATCCCCTCTTTGTAGGACCTCTTTGTCCCTCGGTCAGTGTTCCCCGGGCGGAACGCGAAGTGAGACGCGGGGACAGTGACCTGCATGCCTAAAGGAGCAGGCTTGGGGTGGGGAGAGGGCAAAACGGCCTTTTCTAGTTGTTCTACAAAGCTGTGCGAAGGCGAGGCTCGTTTCTACTAAACGGCCAGGTCAGCTGTCACTACATTTATACTTTTGTATGTCACAAACCCTTTCTTTCATTCCTCCCTGGGCAGCCAGGGCCGATCAGGAGGCAGTGTGATATCGGGGGCAAAGGGAACACCGTACTCGGCAAATCAAGCCGGAATCGGGAGGGGGGGGATACCTATTTTCTTAAGGACCTCAGACATTTTTAACGACCATATAAAATCTCAGGCTGTGAAAGGGATCGCAGGACCGTCCCGTCCAATAGAACACTCGCAGGCAGGGAAGCCGAGGCCGTGCATGACGCCTACGGTCTCCCAGCTCGTTTGAGGCAGAACTTAGCTCCTGCTCCAGTAGCTTCTCCTGTCATTTTGCTTCCTTGCTAACGTCCGGGGGAGAGCAGAAGTCACACCCTCGCAGCAGCGGGGGGTCGGGGGGGGGGATTGGGGCCTGTGACGGTAGGCAGCTTCCGGCCCCATAGATAGAAATCTCATCACCGTGAGTGAGGGTGCCAGCCACTCCTTCAGAGCCCTGCCCTGGCCCATGTGGCTCCCATAGAATGGGGAGGGTCCAGGCCCCGCCTCAGTTTTAGAGCATTAACCCCCCCAATTGCCAGTGCGCAAAGAGGCGGACCACGGCGAAGCTATGTTTAGGACAGCTGTTGGTAGCTGGTGGGACAGAGTCAGCCAGAGGCAACCCAAAAACTCAAGTTTCACAGAGACAGACATCTAGGACGACTAGCGGTATCTGGTTCTCGACCTTGAACCACCTCTGCAATGAAGGGAAGCCAGTAGCACCATGGAGTTTGAAAGTGGTGCCTTCCTGATGGCCAGCAGGGACAGGGGCGGACGGCCCGCCCTCCCGTCTGCCGGGTTAAGCCTCTGCTTGCTCTGTGGCCTCCTTGGCCTCCTTTTCTCACCAAAGCTGGAGGAGGGGGTCAGAAGTGGGCATCATGGTGCTCATCCACGGAAAGTTCCCAGTTCCAAGCTGCTGGTCTCCCTCAGGACAAGACCCTGGTGTGGTTCAGAGGCAGTGGCGTCCAGCGTTGTTAGCCTTGCTGGCTCGTTTGGACAGGGTGACCACTCGTGACTGGCCTCATACTGGAAGAAGGGACTTGATCACCCCCCCACCCCAGGTAGCTCTGCTGCGAATGCCCACACCTTACTCTGAATCACTACACATCCCTCAGTCTTCCTCTGAGCTCCAGAGCCATTGGTACAAACGTTTTATTGAAACTACACAGTACATGACATGAGATTGAGAGGCTACAGAAGTCCCCATGCGGGGGCTGGCCGGGGCGGCTTTGGCAGGTGACAGGAAGGCAGGGCGCGGCCAGCCCGCTGGTCGCGGTTCACTCATCATCTTGAGATCTGATGTTGAGGTTCTTCTGGATGTCTAGTTATTAAACGTGTGTCTGAGTGGTCTGTCTGCATTGGTGCTTTGAGGGTCGAGGGCTGGCGGGGGGCGGGGGGCGACCTGTGCGCGACAGCCGTGTTTTCGCCAGGAGAGGAAAATTACACGCTGGTGGAGGAAAATGCCAGCATGTCCGCCATCTGTCCAGGCCTGCAGGGAGGCTTCTGCAGAGAAGGGCACCCAGCAGAGAGCCCGCGGCCTGACCCCGGCTTGTGCTTCAGGGGACACGTCCAGTCCCTTCCTGTGCTCCAACGTGGGGGATATGGAAGCCTCGTTTCTCACCCCGTCCCCGAGGCCTGGCATCAGTCTGCACCGTCCAAGGAGAGAGCCGGCTGTCGAGTGGTCATCTGAAGGTAGATCCGCCTGGCCAGCTCTGGCCCAACGCGGCGGCACGTGGAGGTCACGCCCTCCCCGCGGCGTACCTGTATGTCTGCAAGCAGGTTCTGGCGTTCTTGCTCCGAAAAACACCGCCTGTAAGCCTAGAAGTGGCAAGTGACCTATCAGTGCTGTACCATCCGGGTCACCCTTGTCCGTCAGTAAGGGGGGCAGTAAGCTAGGGTGGGGGGAGCCTGTCCTCCCTGGGCCAGTGCTAACTGCTCACTGCAGGCCACCGGTGCTCTCCACGGAAACCGCCTGGGGGGTCCACCAAGGCCATGGGGTGCGGGGGGAGGGTGATGACCCTTGGAGCGGCCTACCTGGACCAGACGCCGGGGGCAGGGATAGGTGTCCACAATGGCGCTTGCCACGTCCAGGCTCACTCGGTTCAGCTGCTGAATCTGCCTCCTCCAGACCAGTGCGAGTCCCCTGCCAGCTCGGTCAACCTTTGCCCCTCCCGCCCAGTCACTCTCCAGGCAGGAGAAACTGGTTTGATCTCGAAGCTTCCTGTGAGCAGTAGATGAAGAATCATGTCACTCCACCTGTCCCCTCCACGGGGAACTTAAAAACCAGCCCTCTGCTGCCCACAGTGTGGGCTGTGGGCACACTGCTGTACCTGGCCTATTTAAGTGCTCGCTCACTTCGTCCCCAAACAGCGCTAGTTGCCAGTTCCCTTAAACCCACCACCTAGTCCTTTTCATTAAGAGAAGGCCCCAGAAAAGTACCAGATGGTTTCACATGCTGAGACTGGGTTGCGTGGGCCAGAGAGCACTGTACACAAGGACAGACACTGGGGCCTGGGTGTCAGGCAGTCAGGGAGCCTGGTTCCAGTTCTAACTTGCTAGGAGCTTGGACGAGGCCCTCTCTTAGGGCCTCCGTTCCCTTGGGTATAAAATGAGGGCCTTGGACTGATTGGTCTCTGAGGTTAAATTCTGACCATGAACACTCCCAGAACTAAGGAGGCTACAAGTCTGTTTTATGAGGGCTTATGACGTTGTGACCTACCGTGTAACAAGTCCTGGTCACCCAGCTTACCAGTGACGCGGGAGCAGCCTACGGGACACGAACTTACACATGAGCCAGAGCGGAACCAGGCTTGAGGGCTCCTCATGGGAATGCCTGGCATGAGGTCCGCTCCTTCCGCCACCAGCCTGACGACAACAGGCCGGCAGCAGAGTTCAGGGCAAGAGGCCATCTGCATGGAACAAGGCCCGGCGGCGGGCCGCACACTAGCTGGGGACACTCACTTGAAGGGCGCCTCAGCCACAGCCTTTGTAAGCGCGCACGCGAAGTCGGCCACCTCTTTCCAGCTCTGCACGATCCGTGCCTGGGCTTCTGTGTACAGCTGCAGATCCACCAATGCCTGGAAACCCAAAGGCGGAGGGACTCGTAGGAAGGTGCTCCCTCACACCCGCTGAAGCTGCGCCCCCGCTCCACAGCTCCCTGTTTTAGCCCCTCCTCTCCTGCTCGGTGCCAAGGCAGGAAGTTGCGCCTGGAGGGCACTTTGTTCCTTATCTCTGGCCAACGGGGTCAGAGGAGAGCGGGAGCCCAACCCGAGGCAGGAAACGCCGAGTTCTCACCTCCTCCACATCGAGCCTGGACACCGCGTGCCCTGTGCCGGCCTCCGGCTGTCTCCGCTGCTTCTCCTTGGTCTGTTCCCTGTGTGCCACTCCCGGTTTCCTCCTCCTGGGAGGATCTGGCGCACTGGGATAGGGGAGGTGGGAGGGCAGCAGTTCCACACTGAGCTCAAGCAGGAAAGGGGTGAAAAGGCCAGACCAGGGGTTCCCACAGGGCTCACCAGGGAGGACCCGGACTTGGGATGGAGTTCACCCCTGACGGCCCAAGAGCTGCCCCTTTTTGTGCTACACCTCGAGGACGCGTTCAAACCTGAAGCGTTTCTCCTGATCCACAATCACCAGGGACAGGACTTTCCCAGCCGTCCTTGCTGTGGTGTCACTTACAAAGCTCCGGAGGGTTTCCTTCCCTTTCTCGGAGCCCCCCAGACTTCCCTGTGTGAAGGAAGACACTGCGTGAATGTCTGTCCCCTAGAGTCAGCCCGGTGTCCCATGCCTCGGCGTCCACTCCTCTCCACCCACCTGCTTGAAGTTGTAGATCATGGACGCAAACGCCTCTGTCGGGAGCAGCACCAGAACCATCGGCTCCTCCAGCCAGCCTTCCGCTCCGTCCTACCAAAGGACCGGGACCCAGCAGGGAGGGGCGGCGGGTCAGCAGGTGCTCAGCACCTGTGAGACAGACCCAGGCCTTCTGGGTGACGAACCCACCCCTGTCAGCCAAGCCCATTTTTGTGTTATTCTTCCTCTGGAATGAAGCCATGGTGGTAGAAGCAGTAACCCATGATCCCATCCCTCCCCAGGCCTCAACGGCTCAACCTTGACGCCTGCATCCCGGAGGCGGGGAGTAAAAGGCGTGGAAATGCGGAGAGCCCACGTTGCTGCACGCTTTGGATAGAGGAGTGGAGGGAAAGGACACTCTTCCAGAGGGTTGGGTACAAGCGAGGAAGTTGGCCGTTGAGGGAAGATGCCGGCCGGGAGCCGAGTGGCCCTTATACACACACAGGTTTTGTGTGACAGAGAGAAGAGCCACAGGGGGACCTCGCCTGCGAGGGCACCTCCTCTTCCCCAGGGCCAACGACCCTCCAGCAGTGCAGTGCTGTGCAGCGACGGGGAGCAGGCCTTGTGCAGAGTTTTCTGGCTCTGTCCCCAGAGGCGAAAGCCAAGGCCAATAGCAGAGCAAAGTGCAGTGGGAGGAGTTGTGGGTTCTAGTTCCCGCCCAGCCGCGGGTCAGCTGTGATCTTCCAACCGGCCTCCCTGCCTGGGTGTGTATGGGGGGGAGGGAGGGGGCGGGTAGGAAGTCCTTCTGTACGGAGTGACCAGGCTGACTGCGACTGATGCACCAGGGAGACGTGGAAGCACCTTGAAAGGTTAAGCTGCGATACGGATATAAAGATTTGCTAACAACCCCTATTGAAAAACGTGAGCCCAGGTGGCCCAGTCGGTTAAGCGTCTGACTCTTGATTTCAGCTCAGGTCATGATCTTGTGGTTCATGAGTTCAAGCCCCAGGTCTGCCTCTGTGCTGAGTGAGGAGTCTGCCTGGGATTCTCTCTCTCCCTTTCTCTCTGCCCTTCCTGTGTATGCCCTCTCTCTCTCTCTCAAAATAAACTTACAAAAAACAAAAACAAAAAGCGTGCACTTGCCCAATTATTGAGAAAATGAGAGGGAAGACATTTTTAAGCACACCCAAAGTGGGGCTTGAACTCACGACCCCAAGATCAAGAGTCGAGTGCTCTTACTGACTGAGCCAGCCAGGGGCCCCAAAAGGAAAAAAATCTTAACGTTTCATCTAGAGACTCTTAAAAACGAGGGGTGGAGTTATTTTGGATTCAGACCAGAGGCGGGGAAGGCCCTGGAGCTGTAGTAACCCGGGGAGCCGGGGCCAAGGAAGGAACATTTGCCGTGTTTCTCCTACATGTCCGGTGCTTGGTTATTTCACTTGGTCCCCATGACACGGGGCACCCAAAAGGGTATAACAGTGTCCTCATCTTACACACTAGGCACAAGAAGAAATAACTTGCCCAGGGTATTAGCCACAAAGCCCTGGGGCTGAGATTCAAGCACAACCCCCTCTCCCCGCCCCTCCCATTCCCAAAGCCGAGCTAGAGAGAATTGGAACTCCTTCCCTTTGCGGATTTACCTTCCCTCTGGCCCACGGATCCCCTCCCCGCCCCCCCGACTCTGCTCCCTCAGGAGGCCCCATCACCAGGCTCTCTGGTGCAGAAGGTGGGTGGGAAACCCAGCAGGAAACGAGGGAGGGAAGGAGAAGTCGAGGGATTTCCCTGGCTCCCTCGAAATGGGGTCACTTAGGGTTTGCTACCTTCCTCTACTGGAGGTCAAGCTTCTCACAAGGTGGGCGCTCTCTACCTTCCTGTCTCCCGGATTCTGGTAACCACTCCTCCCCCTCATCCATTCAGGCCGAGGTGTGGTAACAAACATGCCAGGGGTTCTCAACCAGGGGCGAGTTTTCCCCCACAAGGGATGTCTGGCACCATTTTGGAGACGCTCTTGAGTGTCATGACTGGAAGGGTGCTAGCTGGCATCGAGTGGGGGGAGGCCAGGGATGCCGTTCAACATTCTACGGCGCACAGGACAGCCCCGCAACAGAGACTTATGTGATCTGAAATGCCGGCCATACCTGAGGCGGAGAAACCCCGAGTTAACGGTGTTACGACCTTGAGGTGCTGTGTCTTCCTTTGCAGTTTCCTTGCATCCCACCCACGCTTTAGAAAACGCTCCTTAAGTAAACCTTCCTCAAGTTACCCTAAGTGGAGTGGGCCACCCGTTTTCCACACCGTTTCCCTGACTGACATTCTTTCCAGTAAAAGCACACGTATCGGGCGGCTCAAAGGGGGAGGAGGAGACGTGAGCCAGAAACCCGCTACCTCAGCTGGCCCGGCCCTCCTGCTCCAGGCGATGCTGCGAGGCACGGCCTGCACCTCAATCACGCAGCGGCACCCCATGGACTGCAGCGCCCCGAGGAGCTGGCCTCCGCCTTCCGTCTGTAAAAGCTCTGCAACGGACGACAGGAAAGGGGCTGTCAGGGGGCGGCCCAGGAGCGGGAGCCCCAGCAAGGATGAGGACCGCGGCCAGGAGGACCTGGATCCAGCCCCACAACGATGTGCTGTAAGCATTCCTCGGGCCTCTGAGCTTTCAGCCTGTTCAGCGGGGCCGCCGCCGCCTTCCTCTCCTGTTGTCTCTTGGAGCTTTCCTCCCGGCTTGCCTGTCCCCGTGGCCGGCATCCCGGTGAGCCTCTCCTTTGGACCTTCTGATGACGCCTGGTTCTCTTCTGAAGTGGGAGGCCTTCAGCATTTGTTTTGGGCGCTGTCAAGCAGTCGCTCCGCACAGGGCAGGTAGCTTGGAAGGCTGGAAGCTGATGGCACAGCTGGTCTCCCCCAGGGTCCCTGGTATTTGATGAACGTCTCTCTGAGGTGTCACGGAAGGAAACATCAGGGACCTTTGGAAAGGACTGTTCTTTCCAGTCACGTGATGCTCCTTCAGTACCCTGATGCTCCCACACGCTTTTTATCGGGGAGCTAGAATCCTCGGGGCTTGGCGGCTTGCGGGTCAAAAACTTACACGGAAGCCTCTGGGCCAGGGGGATTAATTCCTCCTCATCGTCACTCCCGCTGCTCAGCACCCTGACTGGCTCTGTTTGTGTGACAGGGTCAGCTGTGTCTGGGACAGGTGGTGCGTCTTCCAACTTTGGTGACGGAGGACAGGAGGCCTCAGAATCTGAATTACCAGCCACAACAATCTTCTCCTCCCTCTGAGGCTGCCTCCTCTTTGTGGAAGATGCTTCCTTCTTCAGAAAGGCAAATGTTGGCAACTCTTCAGAGTCACTCTCACTGGATTCCAAAGACAGTGAGGACTTCTTTAGAGCCATCGATAGGTGCTATCAAATCAATTCCCTAAAAGGAAAAAGAGAGAGAAGGCACCAGACTGTAGCACTGAATCCAGTCCATTAGACACATTCTGTGGCCAAACTTTACGGAAATATACACGCTGTATAGAGAAACGGAAACACAGGATATGATAGGGTCCCAACACATTGAACCTGGAACTCAGTGGTCTGTAGTCTAACAGGACTCCTCAGATCCCTTGTAGGTCAAGGTGACTTATAAACAAAGTGGAGATTACCATTGGAAAATGTTAAGGGCAGTGCTAACAAGACTCAACAGCGCCCCCTGTTGATCTCTGCATTTGAATCGGAGATGTCAAGGCATCCTGTCTAAAGATTGAGGTATCATTCACATAACACATAATTCTTCTTTCTCAAGTGTAGAGTTCAGTCCTTTTGAGTATAGTCACAAAACTGTGCATCACTGCCTAATTCCAGAATATCTTCATCAGCCCCAAAAGAAATCCATAGCCATTAAGCAGTCACTGTTCGGGGCCCCTGGGTGGCTCAGTCGGTTAAGCATCTGACTTCGGCTCAGGTCATGATCTCATGGTTCGTGGGCTCCAGCCCCGCGTCGGGCTCTGTGCTGACAGCTAGCTCAGAGCCTGGAGCCTGCTTTGGATTCTGTGTCTCCCTCTCTCTCTGACCCTCCCCTGCTCACGCTTTGTCTCTCAGAAATAAATAAAACATTAAAAAAAATTTTTTTTTTAATTTAAGCAGTCACTGTTCATCCCCCCCTCCCCGCTGCTGGCAAGGGCAAATCTACTTCTGTCTCCATGGATTTGCCTATTCTGGAATATTTAGTACAAACAGAATCATCCAGTATGTGGTCCCTTGTGACTGCCTTCTTTCACTTAGCCTGATTCTCCAGGATCACTGATGTAGTGGCCTGGGTACTTCTTTCATGGCTACATGATATTCCATTGCATACATATGCCCCGTTTTGTTTATCCATTCAGCACTTCCGGATATGTGATTTGTTTCTGGGTTTTGCCCACTGTGAATGCTGCTGCCGTGAACATTCGTGTCCACGTTTTCGTGGGGGGCATGTTTTCAACTCTCTTGCATATACACCTAGGAGTGCAATTGTTGGGTCGTGTACAAGAATCCACGTTTGAGTAAACATTCACTAACACTGCAGACGGGACCCCCCTCCCGCCGCCCCCATAAAACACCTAACCTTCCTGAGCCTCGCTTTCCAATTTAGCAACACAGGGATGATAACAACACCTACGTGATAAAACTGTTGAGAAGCAACCAAAATCGTGCGTCTACGCCTTTTGGTACAGCAGGAGGCACACACACCAAACGCGCAGTAAACACGCTGAATGCCTAGAGAGGGACCTCCTCCCGGTCCCCTCCCTGCGTCTCGCATTAATCCGGCAAAACGAGGCTGCCAGCCAGACCCGTCCAGCTCGTCCACACAGCGCGGCACGGCCCCCGACGGCCTGGTCACCGAGGCCCTGCGGAGCGGGGCTCAGGGGACAGACACCCGCCGCCAGCCACTCGCTGCACCAGCATTGCACCACTCACCTGCCACTCCCCGCGCCACTTTTTCAACTGCCGCGATGACCCCGGAAGTCGATCACCCGGTAGCGGAAGCAGGTTTCTGAGACCGGAAGCGAACGTCCGGCAAAGATGGCGTCGGCGGCGCTGGCGCTGAGAACGCGGGCGGCTGGTAACAGGACGCACGGCTGTTGCGGGGCGAGGGGTGCAGGCGGAGCGGGGTCCCCGCAGGGAGCCTGGGGGTGGAGGCCGTTCCTTGCGGAGGCCCCTGGGCATGGCGTCGGGCGTGGGGGGTTGGCCCATGAGCTTTGAGGGGCGGCTGTAGCCAACCACGGGACGCGTCCCGGGCGCCCTGCGGTGGGTGGTTGATCGAGGAGCACGTGTTCTTCTTTGCCGGGTGCGTGAGGGCAGCTTCCCAGGCGTTTGGTGACTTGGGCACGTCGCTTCCACTCTCTGGTGTATTTGGATCTCTTCATCTATAAATATTGCACACTAGGGGCCCCTGGGTGGCTCGGTGGGTTAAGCGTCCGACTTCCGCTCAGGTTCTGATCTCACGGTGTGTGAGTTCGAGCTCCGCCTCGGGCTCTGTGTTGACAGCTTGGAGCCTGGAGCCTGCTTCCGATTCTGTGTTTCCCTCTCTCTCTGTCTGCCCCTCCCTGCTCACGTTCTGTCTCTCAAAAATAAACATTAAACATGTATATATTGCACACTGTGCTCAAAACAAACAAACAATAAAGCAACCACCACCACCACCACCAAAAACCCGCTCGGTCAACAGATTGGGCTCTGTGCGAGACAGGATGGTTAGGTGTTGGGCTCTCAGCAGAAAAGATGAAGACAGTCTCTGTCTCCCTGATTGGTTCTTTCTAGTGGATAAGCCAATACACGAGCACATACACAAAATGATTTTAAATGGTAGCACGTGCTGTTAAAGAAAGCAGAAGTGCATGTGTGTGGTGTCTTTTTGGGGGTGTTGGTGATTAGGGAAGGCCTTTGAGGAGGTAACATCTCAGTTAAGACTTGAAGGATGGTAGGAGGCCTAGCCCTGTAAGGGAATGAGGGGCAAGAGCGTGACTTAAGCCAGTTTTACATTTTGAGAAGCAAGTAACTGCTCTTAGGTGAAATTAAAGAGGGTAAGAGTGGAAATAAGGAAACCAGGTGGGAAGCTGAAATAGGAGCCTTGAGGAGAGATGACTTAAGCAGGACGCTAGTGTCCATGAACTTGGAGGGAAATGGGTGGTTTTAAGATCTGTTTTGGAGATCGAGCCCAGAGCTTGCTGGTGAGCTCAACCTGTGAGAGGAGCAAAGGGAAGCGATCTGCAGTGTCTCCTTGATTCCTTCCTGAGCAACTGCATAGGTAGTAGAATCCTTTACTTGGAGGTGGAGGATGGGGAGTAGGCTGAAAGGCAAAGATTTGGGAAAGAGAAAATGTAGGTAAAACAGAAGCCCCATTCTTCAGCTTATTAAGAGGATGAATAAACAAATAGGTTTAAAGGTGAGTAGATCCTGGTCCTGGGTATTTCACGTGTCTTTCTGAGTATTTATTTCTGGTCCTTTGGCCCAGCTACTCTCTGTGCTCATTAAAACTTCAGGAACCTCGTTTCAGGAAGTCTGAACTCATAGGCTCCAGAGATCCTCAAGGCTTCTCTAAAAACTCTGGCATAGCCCTGATGAACCATGGCCGTAGCTGGAGCTTGCTCAGAGCAAGGACTGCCAGCCCTATGCTTGTCATATAGCAAGGGGCTTCCATCTTGGTTAGTGTGAGTTGTAGTTCACCTCCTTTTTAAAAGAATAAATGCCGTGGAGCATTTTGGAATGAGTCTGGAGAGGTCAGATTGCCCAGGGCAGCGTGTCCGTCTTGGCGAGGACCTGTGCTGGGTGGGCTTGCCCACGAGGATCCAGCCCTCTGAACTGGCTAAGCCCCCGTGGGAGCCACCCTCGGAGAAGCCGCCCCTTTTTGTTTACAAGTAGCTGGTGTGCAGTGGATGGCTGGATGGCTGAGAAAGTGGAGGGCAAGGCCAGAGCAGGACATTCTCTCTGGGTGTCCTGTTGCTGGGCTCTGTGGTCTGGCCCGTCCACGGTGCCTGGAGCCTTGAGGACACGCGGTGAGTGAGGCTGAAGCCAGCAGCCCCGTGGTGTCCCCTTGCTGGCTTACGTTTCTGTGGTGTTTGTGTCTCCTCGACAGGACTGAATGTGTCAGGACCCAGGGCACATGGTGTTTATTTTTTTCCACGAATATTTCACTAACCACCACCTTCCTTGGCCACACACACACACACACACACACACTTCACATGAGTGCATACTCCCTGGACAATACAACGAACAGCTTGTCCCCTGCCATGGGAGAACGCCAAGGACTTGCAGACACTCCCTGAAAACCAACACAGTCAAGCGGCATTTCTGCTCACGTGTCTTCCTCCCCTCCCCTGCCGCTAGCCCCCGCCACCTCTGGGCATAGCAGATGGCTCGTTGAGGGGGGTGGTGGGGGGGTGATTGGGAGCCTCTCTGAACAACTTTTCTGTTCTGTCTGCAGTTACCACCCTGCTGGGCCCCCCTCAGGCTGCGTCACTTGCCGTGAGATATGCATCCAAGAAGACAGGCGGCAGCTCCAAAAACCTGGGCGGAAAGTCACCAGGCAAACGCTTTGGCCTCAAGAAAATGGAGGGTGAGGGTGTGCCTGGGCTTCCCCCTCCCCCCTCCCCCCTCGCATGCTGTCCCCCGCATTCCTTTGCAGAACAGGAAAGCCACGCACTCCTGGTCCCCTGCACGTAGCTGGCCAGAGCACTGGGCTCCAGATTACAGATGCAGAGAAGACCTGAGGCAGGGAGGGGGTCCTGAGGAAGAGCAGATATCCATGAACCTGGGCCACGTGACTGGAGAGAGGAGGCTGGTGGAGGGAGTCCCGGGGCGGCTTGTGTCCAACCGTGTAGGAATTGGCCTCATCTGGGCTCAGGCTTCGAGGTGGGCGGGCGGCACTGGGGCCAGGAAAGCGAGGGCCTGTGTGTGTTCCCAGCATTAGCTGTGCTGCCCCAGCGCCGGGCCCAGAGGCAGTGCCCGGGGACTTCTCTCCTAGGTCACTACGTTCACGCCGGCAACATCCTTGCGACTCAGCGCCACTTCCGTTGGCACCCGGGTGCCCATGTGAGTTGCTCCGCGACCCTTCCCCCTTCCTGCTTTCCCAGAACCACCGCTCTGTGCTCCGAAGCAGGGTGGTGAGGACAACACAGTTGCACTTAGTGGGTATGTGTCAGATGCCAGGCATCTTTTCACTTCCTGGGCCTCTCTCGTCTCGTTTCCTCAGTAGCCCGTCACTATGATGCCGTGGATGCCACGGCCGTCTTCGAGGTAAGAGGCCAGAGGCTCAGCGGCATGGCCCCCGCGACAGAGCTGGGATTCGTGCCGGGGTGCCCGACTCATGGTCACCGTGCTTTGCCTTGTGTGGCAGCAGCCTTGCCCTCTCGGGTCTCCTCTCTAACCCCTGCTTTGTTAGAGGAGGAGATCTGAGATATTATTTTAATCTGGGGAAACGAATTCCAGCGTATTCCTTTTGCCTTCTTTCTAGTAATTTCTCTTTTGCTTGAAGCTGTTAATAGATGGCTGAAATGGTTTGAAACTAGTAAAATACAGTGCATGTGCCAGAAATTAGGTCTGCAGCAGACGGGGATTGCGGTGTCAGCAAGCTGGGGGTTACTTCCTGACGTAGGAAAGTTCTTTGGTAGCACAGACCTGTACTAGATTCCTCACATCGTCTTAAATGTCGGTTTGGTTCCCTTTGTAATCGGTCCCCCGCTACTGCTCTTTTTTGGTGATTTTAGGAGGCACGGAAAGACTGGTAGTAGCCTGTAGTTATATCAGAAACGCTGATTTGCGTGCGAGTTGATTGTATGCACAGTAGCTTTGTGTTTTAGAACTTGAGACATCGGCTGTGTGGCTGTGTTAAGTCTTGGGACTTGCTAAAGTAATAACAACAATAGTAATAAAAGCTAACGTGTTTTGAGGTAAGCAGTATGCTAAGCTCCTTATGATTAACTCCTTTAGTCCTCGAGTTGACCCCCCCAGAGTAGTTAACATTATCCCCATTTTGCAGACAAGAAAACCGAGACACAGGTAGGCAACTAAGGCAGCTTGGCCGGGTCACACGACAGTAGGCTGGTGTGCCGGGATTTGAACCAGGCACTCTGGCTCCAGAGCTCATTCATTCCTTTTACCAGAAATATTGAGTACTGTACTGCCCATCTCAGGTTCTAAAAGAAACATGCTAAAATGTATACGGTTTATGAACCGTATATGCATCTGGTAGTGGAGTTTATTCTCTGCTCGTTGTTTCTCCCCCAAAGAACAGTTAGAAAGCACCGCGGCTCCACCAGGTGAGAATCGGCCGAGCTCACGAGGCAGCGCCGACCCGTGCAGCCAGTACCATTGGTGCCGCTCTTTTGTTAGCATGCATGTTGCCATAGACACAGCTTTGCCCCGGACTTTGCGTAGACCTTAAACTCTAGACATCGCTATTTGGATGAAAATCTGTCAAACTCACATTTAACCGTGACAGCTCCAGTGTTTTTTAATTTTAAGTGAAGCAGGCTCCCAGGGGCCGTGATTGGGGGCATTTTCCTGGCCTGGTTTGGGGATTTGTCTGGTGTGGCTTCCCGCCAGCTGCACGGACGTGGGTCCAGATCCCAGCCTTCAGGGACCGAGCACCCACGTGGCTTGGCTGTTTGAATTTTTGTTTCCCCTCTCCTGTCACAGAGTCCGTGAAGAAGTAGAAGTCAAGGAAGTGCCAGGCAGCGGGAAAGGGAACCCAAGATAAGAGTTTTCTGATCTCTCGTTTGGGCCCAGGGCCTGCATCCTCAGGAGAACTTTGTTCTGCCGCCCCGGGATGGAGCACTTGGCCCGCAGTCTGGCTGACTGAGCGTTTGTGTTGCAGGTGGGGCTGGGGAGGAAGAAGTACCTGTATGCCCTTGAGGAGGGGACAGTCCGCTTCACTAAGGAGGTCTATGTGCCCAGCCCCAGCAACGCGGAGGCTGTGGACCTGGTCACCAGGCTGCCCAAGGGGGCGGTGCTCTACAAGACTTTTGTCCATGTGGTTCCCGCCAAGCCTGAGGGCACCTTCAAACTGGTAGCTATGCTCTGAACTCCTGGTCAAGGCCGTTGGACAGAGACTGGAGCCCAGGTGGCAGGAGAGTGTGGTGGCAGCGGAAGTCAAGGGTTGAAGACGATGCAGCCTGCTGAGGATGTCTGCTCGGTGGCGATTGCAGAAGACTCGGAAGTGACTGGCAGGGAAGCCTTTTAGGAGACCTGCCCTGGGGCCGGAAATAAAGTGTGCCGGAGTCACGAGTCTGTGCCGTGTGGGGAGAAAACCTGGATGGAGCTGCTTACTCGGTGTTGGGTCCTTACCCGTTCTGTCTTGTGTGCCACGGTGCGCCCTCGAAGCACAGAAGCCCTGTCAGAGCAAGGAAAAGAGAAAGGGGGAGCGTGTTTGAGAAGGGGTTACCTTAGCACCATCTTCCCAAGGGGAAGGATGAGGAGAGCTTGTGCTTGAGGCTATCACTGCCTCTTCTCCCCCAGAACCCATTCTGGCCCGGTCCTGGAGGAGTGGCGGGGGCGGGGGGGCCTATAAAGGAAGCGATGTGATCATGTCCCCTCCTGAAGCCACATTTGGAGAGAACTGGGGCTGCAGCCCTAGGAGGGGCTAAATGGCTGGCCCTCCTCAGCCCCCCAGCTCTGTGGGTCCAGCATAGAAAGTCCCCGTCTACCCTGGAATACCCAGGTCCTTTTGCTCTTGAGGCAGACTGGGTGACAAATGGGTGCTTTCCATCTCCTGGAGAGAGACGTGCCCACCTCACATCCTTTTCTGGTTCTTGATTTATCTCCAACCATAAACAGCAAAGGATCTGGCTTTAGGAATACTCTGTCTGGGCCTAGACTGGGCTGGGCAGGCCTTCCCTGTCAGTCCGACCCAAGACCTTAGACCCTTGGCTTCGAGTGGCAGGGCTGGGAAGAGCGTCTCAGCTGGGACAGAGGGCTGTCCCGGCTGTTGGGGGCAGGCAGTTTGGGCTGCAGCCCCAGCAGGGCTGGTAGAGTCCAGTGGCTTCCCCCCAAGGACTCTCAGCCCTGCGGCAGGAGCTTCAGGGACTGGGGACGCAGAAGCCCCCCCCCCCCCCCCCCCCCCCGTCTGGGGAGCTCTACCTTGAACTTGTCGCCTTATTTTTTCAGGACGTGACCCCAGATTCTCCACCTCCTGCAGATCCTTGGCAGAGGTGACCTAGGGTTTGTTGAGGTTCACTTTGGCTTCCTTCTTGTGAGGGCTCGTATACCAAGGCCCAGCTGGGGGAGGTTGCTGGAGGTGTCCCTGTAGGCTCAGCACTGTCCCTGCCAGTCCCCTGGAAAAGCAGAAGGGGGCAGGCTGGAAGAGGGTGTGCCCTCTGACGCAGTGGTGTTTCCCTGAGCAGAGCCAGGTCGTGGTGCAGGCAGTGGCCTTAGGGCCTCCCCGTAGCTTGGTGGCGGACGAGGGATAGGAGACTAAAGGCATTAGCCAGTCCTTGACTCGCCTGCCTCTCCCCCCGCCCATACACACATGTCCCTTCTCTCGGCCTCAGCTTTCTGTGTCTCCTCTGCCCCGCTGATGCTCCTTCCGGGAGACAAGTTGAGTCCTGGAGTTGCTTGCTCCATGGAATCCCTTCCGCAGGAGCCTGTTCTGAACCCCAGGGCAGATCCCCCACCCAACCTGGGCTGGAGTCTGTCATCCTTCCCTTCACCCCAAGAGGTGAAGCGGGGCCTCCTTACAACACCTGGGGCTCTCCGTCGGCGGCCCTTCCCTCATCCCGGGCTCTGGCTGGGCGCTATGTATGAGAGCAATAGGAACAAAAGCTCCATTGTCTGACGCCCCTGAGGCCAGGAATACCGAACATCACCTCTGCAGGCCCAGCTCCTGAAACGCCGTGTGATCGCCCACTGAACCTGCTGCTGCTGCTCCTTTCGGATACTCCCCTGGTGGGGCAGGCGAGCCGGCTGCCACAGGGTGGCCGGTAGCCGCTGGCAGCCCCACACAGGACAGCCCTGTGACCAAGAAAAGCCGAGGGGGCAGGCAGGCACCCATGACCCTTCAGCTTCCATCCAGGCCTTCCTCCCCAGGCTGAGCCTAAGATTAGGGTACCGCTCGGCCTCCTCTCCCAGAAGTCTGTAGGCATCATCCCATCCTTCCCCCTGCCGCCCCAAGCCCCTGGCCTGCTCCAGGCCCCCAGTACACACCTCTCCACTGACTTCCGGGTGGCAGCCCCATGGCCCCCCCCCACCTGTGTCCCCCAGGAATCTCGGCAGTGTCCCACTGCCTGGGCCTCGCTGGAGCATCGGTTGGTGTGGAAACGGGGCAGGGCCGGTCCCGGTCCCGGGGAGCATGAAGCATGACTCCATGAGCCTCAGGTTTCGCGGTCAGCAAGCAAGAGAGCAGCACCCAGCCCCTTCTGTCCCTAGGGCTCTCTCCCCGTTAGTTCTCTGCAGCGAGTCCAAGGCACAGAACTCAATGCTCTGCATCTCTGAGATGCACTCGGTGTAGAGACCCCAGTCGTCCCTGGCCACTGGCTCATTCGCACATGGTCTGGCAGCGGCTCTGATGGGCTTTGGGGGAGAGTCCGAGAAAGCTGTCTCCCCCTCTGCCCCCCTCTGCATCCTGTTTGTGTGGTGCCCAGGATTGTATGTGTGTATTGGGGAGGGGGCAGGGATCAGAGCACTGGGAGGCTGCCGGTCAGATGATTCCTTTGCTGTCCCTACCTAGGCTCCCATATGGTGCCCCATCCCTGGCGAGCGGCCTGACAGTCCTGCCCGACCCCCTCCCCCATGGAGTCCGTGCTCTGGGCTTTCCCCTGGGAGCTAGGGGGACGGTGGGCCTCCAGTTGCTTGGAGAGTTGGGATGAGACCACTGTCCTCTCCAGCAGCTCCCAGCACTGGGTCCCCGTTAAGAATAAGCAGGCAGGACGCTGACGATGTTATTAACCTTTTGCACTCTGCTGCCCTGGCCCCAAGGGAACCCAGGCTGTCCATCAAATAGAGTGCAAAGGCCCCTCCATACTGAACCATGGCCCTTCCCTGGCCAGAGCACAGGTGGCTTTTTGTTGGGACTGGGGTGGGGGTGGGGCACCAAGGGAAGGGTTGGCAGGTCAGGGTGCTTACCTATTGGCTGGTGCTCACGGTAGTACAGCAGCAGCGGCAGGATGGCCGTGATGAACCCCAGGGATGAAACTAACCCCCCCCCCCCGAGGCACAGGTCAAGGGTCCAGCCTGGAACTGGCACGCATGGGCCCACCTCATCCCGCCCCCCACCCCCGCACACACAGTGGAATCCCGCCCCAGAAGTTTGGTAGGGTTGGCCTGGCTGGTCTAACATCCGCTTGACAGGCAGGGGAGCCTGGGGTGCAGGCAGATCCCTTTTTGCTGCTGCATCAACCCCCTGCGGCAGAGATTTATTTCGGAGAGTGATGTAGCTTTATCCTGTCTCTTTCTTCAGCCCGGGGGAGTGATGTGTGTAAGCAGTCTAGAGAGGGACTCACCTGGTGGGGGGGGTGGGGAGGGAGGAACTTGGGGTAGGGCTAGGCACCCCGAGAAGCCGCGGGTCTGAGGGGCAGGGGAGGACTCCAGAGCCCGAACTCTGACCCCAGTGCGCAGCCCTTCTCCACTATGACAGGTCGTGGCATCCCAGAACTCGGCAGGGCAGGGACCAGCCGGGACACAGCATTCTTCCCAAGCGGCTTGCCCTGGGTCCCCATGCAGATGAAGAGGCGGGGCTTCTGGCCTATGTTGAGGGGTCAAGGGTACATCCGATCCAAGATCCAACCCTGGGACTCAGGACGGTAGCAGGTACTCACCGGTGGCCACCACTAGGACGTGGAGGCTATAGTCCATGGTGGTCTCTGCACACAGAACACGGTGGTGGAGGGGGTGCTGAGATAGGGCATCGGCCTTGAGCCACCTTGAAGACAGTCTGCAGGGCCACAGGACTGCTCTGTCGCCGGGCCACCCCCTAGCCCAGGAACTCTGTCCCGGAGGAGCAACTGCATTCGAGCCAGGGTATCTGTGAGCAGGTCTGTCCCTGCTCGTCCTGTCAGTACGGTGCCAGGACCTCACGTCCCACAGAGTGTGCTCCCCTCGGCGGGCCTGGCAGCCACCACGTCCCCTCTATGGCCTTCAGAAGAGGTTTTGGCGGGAATGGGCTCAATTTCTTCTACACCCAACAGCCAGCCAGGGGAGCCCCAACTTGCCCAGACCCCCGTACTTTTCCCTTCCAGATCGCCTCGCAGGAACTCTGCCCCGCCACTTCCCACTGGCCCAGGTAACTGGGCTGCACATGACAGCCCTGGTCTCAGCTCCTGCCTCTACGGGAACCGAGGCATCCACGGTTGCTCTGGAAACCAGGCATGGACCACAAAAGGGATCTCCCCCTCCTTCCAAAGGAATTATTGCGGCGGCCTAGGGGGTCCAGACTGCCCCAGCACACCTCCACCCCCACCCCTACCCCACATCCTGCCTGCCCTGAACCCTGATCTTGACCCCAGGGGCCCCATCCAGGAGAGGATTTCAAAGAAGCCTCAAAAAGCCCAAGCCTCCAGGTTGAGCTCACCCTACAGAAAGATGGGGGTGGGGAACATGGCAGAGAAGCTGTGCTCGCTTTTGCCTCAGTGGTTTGCACGGCAGAGAGGACCGGAAAGGAGGGCCTCCGCGGCCAAAACTGCCTTCTGAACCCGCCCAGGTCCTGCAATGCTCCCAGCTCCAGAGGCCAAAGCAGGCCCCCCAGAGCGGTGGTGCGGGTGGCGTTGGCCTGCGCATGAGGCTCTCCTGGGAGAGAGCTGCCCGCTCAGGCCATGATCTCATGGTTCAGGAGTTTGAGCCCCGCATCGGTCTCTGAAGGCATGGAGCCTGCTTGGGATACTGTCTCTCCTTTCTGCCACTCCCCTGCCTGTCCTCTCTCTCTCTCTCTCTCTCTCTCTCAAAATAAATAACCTTAAAAAAGAAAATCTCCTGGGGGAGCTTTGAACTCATACTTTCACTGGGTTCCCACCTCATACCAATTAACTCCGAACCATCAGGCCACTAGGCTAAAAGTGCAAACTCAGAACCTCCACAGCAGGGCACAGTCATGAGTAGTAATAAGTGACAGAGGGCCTGGTGTGATGGGCTGAGCGTGGCAGGGGCCAAAACAGCACTCCCGCCCTGCTGCGTTCAAAAGACAAGACCTTCGAAACTGCTGGGCTCACCTCACGGCAGCACAGCCACAGCCCAGGAGAAACCTTTCGCCTGGACGGCCAGTCCTCAGCCAGCTGAGTCTCAGTGTTCTGACCGTTACTG